TCCATGTTTTCACTGTCGTGTTATCTTTTTGCCCCATGTTTTCACTGTCGCATGATCCTTTTGCTCCATGTTTTCACTGTCGTGTTATCTTTTTGCCCTCAATTTTATCATTTAGGTGGAGCACCCGTACCCCCAAAAAGGTGAGTACCCCGCCCCCTCGCGGTGGAAACCTATAAGGTCATGGTCTCCTCTTTGCTACCTAAGTTAATCACACATGCAGCAGCTGTGCAAACTGCGCTCGGCTGTAAAGCAATGTACTGCAATATAATAATCCTATGGGATTCTACAGCACGTTTGAATTCCAGTTGGGAATGTTTCGTAACGTCAAGTTGAAATATTATTATGATTGTTGTAAAATGGCTATGCAGCCACTGCTTTTCCATCCATTGCTTTCAAAAGCATGTAGTGCATACAGGGAAGCATTACCAAATTATTGTGTAGGTAAATAAATGGCTACATATCATTAATGAATAGTACTTCTCAACATCAAGAACTACACAATATCTTGAACAAATCCAAGATACATTTTTACCATAAAACTCCGATAGTAACATCCCAGTTGGCCTACTCCCATTTCGTCTGCTCTTAGAATTGGCAATATTCCCATGTCGCCTACTCCCAGAATAGGTAATAGTACAATTTTCGTCGTAGTATTGATATTACAACAAATACCAGGAGAAATTAGTGTGGATGCCACTCTGTCTAATCTATGTATGCTAATCAAAACCATATATTACATTTATAAATGATTATTTAGTGGACAAACTGATGGTAGACAAAATGGGAAACGGGTAGATTTTTAGTGCAGACGAATTGGGTGTAGGTGAAATAGGTAGGCCAACTGGGGGTTCTGCTATAGACGAAATAGGAATTTCGCAGTAGGCGAAATGGGAGTAGATCAACCGGGCATAAACCACTCCGATAGGATAATTAGTTCCCGATTGAATGGCTTGAAATTAACCCTGCTAACACTGTTCACCAGTTAGAAGGGCTCATGATCTGTAATACATACTAGCCTAATGTTTGCTATTTATACAATGTTGGTTTTATAGTGAGAAAGTTGCAGTGATATTATCATCATAACATTTTCGTAGTAGTAAATTTGTCTAGTCAGCCAAAAATCATGTGGTCCTTCGCACCAATGATCCCGATTATCTTGGCTGGGTCTGTTTCAGCAAAATGTGCCATATTGTGTGCATTGCTATGTCCCATATAACAGCAGTGCATTACAATCGTGCATAGCAACATGAACAGTTGCTAGAATAGTAGGCCTATGTGAAAGCGTTTGGAATTATTTTACAATACACACTTGATATGCCTGGTATGGGAGATGTTGGGTGTTGGGATATTTCATCATGAATGATACCACGAGATGGTTGTTGCACTAAATATGGCAACATCCATCATTCTTTATTGTGACTTTGTAATAAATTTAGGTTTTGATATGTTTCAACACAAGCTGTACATTAATCTAATCAATGCAAAAAGTGGATACGATTTTCTATATAACCGGCACTACTGGTCAGTACTTTCCTAGCTCTTACAGATTACTACAATGTTTAGACGAGTGTGAGCTTCAAGTTCTAGCTTGTTGCTCTGTTCGAGCAAGACTTGCTAGCTACAACAGTACACAATATTGCATATTCAACTACTGTGTTCCATTTTTATGTCTGCTATACTATATACATCACAACAGATTTACTTTGCTAATGAATGTTATTTTACTTACTTTAGCTTGACTTCCACTGCTCTGGCTTTGCCACTAATATCACAGATGTCACCACTTGAGAAATAATGGGAAACATATCTAGGAGAAAACAGCAGCATGTTTTACAAGTTTTGCCAATATAATTGAAAAAAATAGACACAAATCTGACATCTTAAGACTTATAACATAATCAGTATTAAGTACATGTAACTCTTGATTCATACAATTATGTTCTTGAAAATGGTTGTATAAATCAATCAAAGTAAATAGTTGAGGTTGGGTTGAAGTTCTTAATAGGACAGAATAGCAAATATTAAAAAATTATTATAAAAGTGAAAACTGGTTTAGATGTATGAAGAAATATAAACACCTATTATATAACCTACCAACTATAAAGCCCGGCGCACACGTGAGTAATTTTACTCAAGTAAAATGATGCATGCATCAAAATACACAACGAAAATCCACCGCACACAGGAGTATTTTGACGCATGCATCATTTTACTTGAATAAAATTACTCACGTGTGCGCTGGGCTTAATAAAATATGTGCATTATCACCATCAAATACTGTAAGATCCCTCGATTTTAGGTGATCTATGTACTGGTTCAACCAAGGTTAGTATAATATGCATTTCCCGTGAAGCTCATAATAGCCTACTGGATCGCATGGCAAGGCTAAAGCATGACACTCCTAGACCCTATGAAGATGCTTGTCGGCAGTTGATTGTCGGAAATTGCATTATCTAAATAAAAATATGCTCATTTAAAAAAGGGTATCAATGACCAATTATGTTATCGAGGGTTACCTGTACATCAGAATTGATATTCATAAGAACATTATTTGCAAATGTCCTACATTGCACTTAAAATTATAGATCTCAGTAACGAGCCTTACTTTGGTTTTGTACCCGACACTATCTTCTTCTGGGGAAAAGCATCTAGCCAATTAACGTGGCTCTCCATGTTCCATGTCCCTAGTAGAATGTTAGTTCTATCCTGATTTTTGTCTTGGTGAAATTGGTAGACATGTTTGCCATAGCAAAATTCGTACTTCCACCAACCCCGTCCCTAAAATGTAAGAAGATTGTTTACTATGTATGTACTAGTGACTGCACAATGATGAATAAATGACACAGAACAAAGATCATATGGTATATATCGCTATATGAAATAACTTCATCGTTAAATTGTTAATTACTTGCCTTCACGTTGCTCTCTTCCAATGATATACCACTGGAATAGTTATCTATATGATATATCACATCCTATGATATATTATAGCTTTAATGACGAACTAAATAAACGAATGATGACCTTGTACAATAAATGCAATACTCACTCCTGTGAGGCAGTGTGCCCCACTGAGGAAATTCCGGATGAGATCCTGATCAGTGGGAATTGTATGAATTTGAGGAGCCACCTCGACAACCTGTGATTTCCCATGCATCCTGGGCAACGAAGTCTGTTGTGTGAACGAACAGCCCAACATTAGTTCCATTACAAAGCTGACATTGCTATTAAGTGGCTTCTTAATGGATTCAGCATTCTTTCATTAATGTATGGCTGTCTCAAGATCTAGTGAGTTCGGCATTAGGTAAAACAAGTACAGAACACTGGCTTGGACAGGTTAGCAAAAACGAATCAGGCATAATACAGTTCTAATACATTCGCCAGCATTTTCTCTCTGCATTTAGCAATTTTGACTGGTCACTTGGAGCCTTGGCACACATTCTCAAAGTACTTACAGCATTTTTTATTACACATATGTTCTCATCTATGTGAACGCCTTGGTCAATTTCCTAACTCAGCAAAGTATAACCTGCCATACTGGTAATGCTAGTTTTCGGCATCGAAATAAGCAATACCTGTTTATTGTACTGTGAAGTTGATTTTGCTGCCATTTCATTCTGCAGTTTCAGACTTTTTGGTATTACTGGACTGTTCTCCATGGCTAGGCACTCTATTTCGTGCACTGGATCCTTTGCCTTCCTGAAATTACAATCCAAAATTTTAACATGACAGTTTTAAAAATAAAATAGATGCCCACATATACATAGGTATATTATTATAATTCAGAGACGCCCGAGGGTGAAGCCGATTTCCATGATTACTCTCCGCATTGTGACGGTGCTTGCCTCCACATGAGATTTGTTCAGGATATCAGTATACAAACTGTGAAAGTCAGTTACTTGTACTCCATTTAATGTTAATAATTGCACAAATTGCACGTATAATTTTAAATATATATGCATTTTAATAAAATACACCAGATATATAATATAGCAACCCCACCTGAAGTAAGGATGTTCGCAGAGAAAAGATGTGGCAATGACAACTTCGTATTCACATGTGGAGGTTTCCTTAAAATGAGCAATTTCATTCCTACCTTTCTACAACAATAAAACACGCTGTTAAAATAACATATTGATTCGCCTACCAACAATTTTGTATGCCTGACAAGGACAAAACACATCAGTTAATTTTTCATTGAAAAATGTGGTGGAAATTTTAACCGAAAATAATTTAAACTTGTAACCCTGAAACACAAGATACAACTTCAAATGCAAAAATTGTGTAATCTTTTGACAATAGCGAAAAACACATACTGTTTTCCGTTCCCCAAAATTGGGCACCACATTCGCACGATTAGCAACATGTGATGATGTTAGTTACGATTCGATGTAGTCATGACCAATCACACACTAGCTAAGCCCCCCATATTTTTGCTCCCAAATTTTTTCCCCTAGCCATCTTTTTGCCCCCCAATTTTTCCCTTGCCATCTTTTTGCCATTGTATTCACCATCGAGCCATCTTTTTACCCCATGTTTTCACCGGCAAGCCATCTTTTTGCCCTCAATTTTCTCATCTAGGTGGAGCACTCCTAGCCCTAAAAAGGTTGAGTACCCCCGCCCTCCCGGGGATGAATGTATGGATAAAGTATATCCTGTGTGCTGAATGAGCGACCTCATAGTAGTGATCGAGTTAACTAGTTCTTGTCAGTTTGTACTATATGAAACAGGAACAATATGAAAACATGTCATAACAGCCAATGCGACCCACAAGTGTCAATTGTTAGAGGCTGCAGCTGTTATCTCTCGGCTGCCTCAAATCTTCCAACTGCTGTGTTGTGCCTGTGTTATGGCTACTTTATAGTATTAGCTTACCTCTTTGCATATATAGTAGACAAGCGTAGTTCTTAACTTGTCTGTTAGATCACATTTAGTGCCGTCTGTCATGTTCATAAACAGATATTTTGTTTCAGCCTTTAATATCTTCCTCGACTTGGGCTGTATAATAGTAAAAGAATCATAAGCAAATATAATTACTATGATGTTTACATACATCACTAACCAATAACAAAGAACCCTTTCCAAAAAATGCCAAGTTGATCAATACACACCTAAATGCAACCTTGAGTAAATGCACTGGTTGACTAAAGTGAATTCTCTGCCTGACCAGTTGACCTTGACATTTACTAGCAAAGACCCCCTCCCCCCTATTATCCTGGCCTTGGAGAGAAAGTACGTATGGAAGTGCCATCAAGAAACATCAGCCAAAATGCATCCACTTATTCTTGGGTAACCATTTAACTGCTTAACTCTCAAATTAAATTAGCTACCAGCGTAGCTACTGACGTATTTACACCAATGAGCCAATGAGACAGATCCTAGCCTCAGCATTATTTGCAAGGTACGTAGATCTCTACCAAGGAATTAATACAAACCAAGCAGACCATGTATGGAGTTGCTGTATTTCATAACGGAGTAATAGCTGAGCATTTTAACAAGAAAGGGCAAATTTCACTAACACTAGGATTGAATAAAAACCAAGGAGTGTGCAATGCTTAATTATTGTAAATTCAACGTTTTCTGACTTTAATCTACCTATGATTTGTTATGTTTAGCACAATAAAGTGAGACACCAGCCTCACTCTACGTAATAATATTCTGACGTGGTTAATTTTAAATCGTTTTCCAATAGAGTATGATTTCATATGGTTATCGAAACTGCAAAATATTACTAGGAATCGTTTAATGTTCATTTCCATGCACATCTTTCTTCCTTGTTCATTGATTTCCTTCTTTCTGTGAGTCTGGCTAATTGCCTTGGTGTTGGCAAGCACTGACCAGCACTCACCACAGACTTAATTGATGTGAGATCTATGATGATGTCAGGAATGAATAAAAGCATACTTGTTTTTATTCACACCTGATAAAGTTATTTACTTAATGTCCACATTGCCTAGCTTAAAGCAGTCTCCATACCCATCTAAACTTCTCAATGGCATATCTTCCAGCTACACCTACGAATAAAGAGCAAGCCGTCTATATCAACTTGCTGTCAACTCATGCCAATCCCTTTCAAACACAATGCCTAGCACTGTACGGTAATTCTCTGCCGGTATACGAGTTTCCTGACATAGATTGAGCTGTCCATCCCAGAATAATAAAAAATAAAAGGAAAAATAGAAAAAATGAAAAAATACAAGAAGAAAATAAGAGGCAGAAGAATGGAAAGAAGGAGCACGATTACTAAGCAAAAAAAGAAAAAATGTACCTACTTATTCAAAGTTATTCACTTCGTGAAAGTTGTCTAAAGTAACTGTTCATTGCCCAGTGTGATCATATGCTATGTCAGTAAATATTCACATACCTTTTCCATCTCTGGAAACAAGTCTGAAAGAAAAATGGTATTACATATGTTAGATTAGACACTTTCACAGCCAATAATGACTCCGCTGTTCTATCTGATGAATCCTCCCAAATGTTAAGAGTAAATTTACTTTGCCATTATGAGCCAATTTAAAGAGCACCAGTATTCGATTTTGGACAAGCTTACTGAACGATAACACGTTAGTTAAGGTTGTTATAATCTCATCAAAAAAGTCTGACAAATAATTTAATGTCTACTTCTTGTCCTTTTTATATAATATTACCAGGGTTTTGCCCCAAGAATTCCGGAAGGCATGTTGTTTACCGACCGATGGTGGATAGCCAGGGAAGAGGTTGTACCAATTGGAGTCAATTACACGTGTCAGAAGCGTCCCCAATACACGTGTATATGCAGTCATTTTAGAAACATGATTTTGGAATCCGTGCATGAAGTAAGCGGCATACACGTTGTTTGCTTTACTCAGTTTAGATGGCCAGTCGATGTTGGCATTTATGTTGCATGTATTTGGGTTTTACATGTACACGTGTTCATTATTGTACATAACTGCTGGTGGTTAGACAGATGAAACAGGACACCGAGTCAGTGAAAAAAATACACGGGGGCTCGGGGCGATTTAGCCCCCGAAATGCCAAAAAGAGCCCCCGTAAATTTGCATAGAGTTCAATGCAAACCAAAATTTAGAGTGCTATTTTCCTGCACTCGAGCTTGAAAAGTAGCCCCCGAAAAAATGATGTTCCTTTGATGTGTGGCAGTATTGATATACACATAGGGGTGCTGGGGACTGGGGAGCAGAATAATGAATGTAAATCCCTTCCCAGAACATGTCACTAGACTCACATCGCAGAAATTAACAGCCTGTTGTTAGTTTGTATTTTCCGATAATTGGTTCCTCACATAATCGATTATCTAATTAAAGACTGAGATAGTTTATTTTTTAATTATAAAAGAGATCTATCACCAGGACATCACTAGTAACCACAGTTGAAATGAAGGAACATTGATTAGGCAACTATGAAAGGACTTATATAAGGACTTATGGGATGTCACAAATTAGCTTCAGCTTTGAAGCATGTCGCATCTGATATGCATTTAAGGCCCGGGGACGACGCTGATTAATTTTAATTTGTCTTGTAATACTCTCATGTTCATGCAACTGATTAAAAAATGCTATATGGTACTACAAAATGATTACATGCGGCAAGTAGAATAAACACAACAGCATCTAGAAACTTCTTCATTTAAATAAAACTAGATTACGAGCCAACAGCAACCCTATTATACACGTGATATAATTAGTCTGTGGTAAAAAATGGCTTGTCAATCTCTGTAAAATACACACAGATTTATACCTTTATACTTCTTATCAGAAAATCTACCCAAGATGTACTCCTGCAGGTGTGTTTTCTGAAATGCAGTCAAACAGCTAATTGTGATATAAGACTATAACCTCATATAAGACTAATTATATTTAAAATTACAATTAACAGATAGTAATAGTAATAAATACTTAATCTACAATTATTGACTATATCAACCTAAATTAAGATGGCACTTCTTGACAAGATATTAAAACTAAGCAAATAAACAGTTTGTTCACTATTTTGATTGCAGTATACTAATGATTTCAGTGTTTACATTTTTATCTTCAACCTTCAATGTTAACAAGCAGCTAATTGCGGCTGATATTGTACAAAACTGATATGGTGGAAGTTTTTAGCACAATCAACAATTCACACTCTGTATTTTTGGCCAGTATAAAGGCAACCACATTGAAAAGGTTTTTCAAGTGTTTATCATTGTATTCACTGCTCTTATTATATATCTATATGTCTGGATCTAGACTTCAACAGTCTTACATTGTTCATTGAATATCCCGAATGTTAATTATACGTTCACCTTGCCATCTTCTTTTTCTTCATGATATTGCCGTAAATATAAACCATGACAAAGCTCATATGTCCAATACTGTTCCAGCTAAAAATCAAAAATCAACAAATAATAAAATAAAATATCAAATATTCATAAAAAAACTAGTCAAATTCAATACTATATACCACACACAAATTATTCCATATGCATTTTGTACACCTTAGAAAATTCAATACTATACCTGACAATACTGACACAAACGCTGCATATCGATTATCGTATATCGTGGGCTGCTGTATCATGATTCACCACTTTATCGGTGAATCGTTACACCACTAACGTGCATATTGTGCACCGTATATCAATTACTTGATTTAGATATATTTTTCACATGAATAACGTGACTAGTTTCTTCCATTACCCTGTAAGAGCATGCATTTGCAATTATCAATTCTTCCATCATCTCAGCAAGTGTCTTTCCTTCATAGCTCGTGTGACCAACATTATCTTTCTGCAATATGATAAGAAGTTTGAAAACTTTATAATATAAAACATAATTTCTACATTAATCAATTATTTTTCTAGAAATAAAAAATATTAGTAAGTCTATATATATGTTAAAGATTAGATGAAAAATAAGAGTTCCAACACATATATACACATTATAGCTTCAGGAATACTTGACTCTAGGTTCTAGGATTATTTTCAGTTGATTTAGGTTAAAATTATGCTACATTAAAAATTTCATGGTTCAATCACCATTAGAAATATTTTTTTTTACGTTTTAAAACTAACGACTACAGTTAGATTACAACGACGGTGGCGCCACTCAAAGCGCACCATCTGAAAAGTTGCGCAAATGGACTTTTCCGCCAAGGGATACAGACCGAAGGTGTTTCTTATTTATTAATTTAACAGCGAATGGATTGCTATATTTTATAAACGACATATTTAGTTTCAGTTATAGTAATACAGATAAATTTGTCATAAAATGAATATCGTTCGGTTAAATAGCATTTAAGTATAAATATAATTGCACTTTTGTGATTAGCCCTCGGTCTGTAACGTGCAAAATAAATTGGCAAATGCGCAACTTTTTCATGGTGGCAACATGATCGGGTGTCATGTCAGCGCCCAAAAATGAAAATTTTGAAATTCAATTTTGTTTTATGACAAGCATGAATACGTAATTATAGATATTTGTAGGTATGTGCTATTATTTATGAATCTACTGTCATAATATGCTCTCAAATTCTAAAGTAGAGTATCTCTTTAAGTTTGCTCCTCACAACAGCCAGCACTCGTTATCAAACAGAGTAAGATTGTTTCTATTGCCTAAAGGAATGACAATTTTGTATTTACCAATACTACTCTATTATCCTCACAAATATTTACCTCATCATCTTTTTTTTCAGGTACCTCTGGTATGATACAATGGTATTTCTCGTTGTCTGGTGTGGAAATAAGCACTATTTTATCTGGGTCCAGATCCTATAAATATAGATGACAGCAGGTTGTCATTATTCACCCCTGATGACAGCAAGTCCTTTGTGACTTTGGCACAAGCTTAGGTGTTCGCAAGCTCTAGCATGAGCCATATATGATTTCAATAGACTTTCCAGGCTCTATCCTCAAACACTCAGTTATGAATAAATATGTTTACATATATGCACTAATTGTACTCTTGATGAGGACTGAATGCCACTTTTACACTTTTTAGAAACACAAAGTATCGCCAACCAAACATGCACTAATTGTACTCATATCTATCCATCGGGTGTGTAGTTGCGAATTTCTTGTCTTCGTCGGCCTCGCCAATTACGTTAAAGTGGTTACGTGAATGATGTAACACACTACTCAGGGCTTGAAACTAACCTAAAATGTTTACAGACTGCATATTTGTAATCACTACATTAAGTGAGTCATCAGTTCATCCGTTCATTTGCTCCCACGTCACCCCGCAGAACAGTGAGTATCAAGCAAGCGTCACATTACTTAACCTAATAAGGCTATGTCATGCGTATGTAAGATTTAGCAACCAAGGTCTTGGCCCGCCTTGTTTGCATACAAAACACACACACAAGCGGGCTATTCTTATCCTGGGCTAAAGTATCCGGGCGCCCTGCTTCATGTTGTGGAGGGAAGACGCATCCAACTTGGAGGCGGCCTAGCGCGTAAATTAGAGTGGGCAGGGCTCTCCCCAGGATGAAATTGAAACAGGGGAGGGGAGGGGGGGGAAAGGAGGGGAAACGAGGGGGTCGGAA